AAATGGAATTCCAAACTGAATGCATTGGTCACCAGAAGATGATGGGGTAAATGTCTTAGCAGGTAACAGCACTTGCCCAGCCTTGTTTTAGCTCAAAAATTCAACAGAGTAGGACCTGACTGGTATTTGAATGGGAAAGCACCAGGATCCCAGGTTAGATAAGTAAAATGAAAAACTTCTCAGTAAGAAGCAATGATTTTTTTTTTTACTTTCACAAAGATAATTATATGAACATGTCAATAAGCTACTCAATCATTGGAGCTGCAAGATAAGTGGCAAATAAATTTGATAGATAAATAAGTCACCAAGATTTTGACCTAAGAAAGTTGATACTCAGAGTATATTTAATAGTAAAAGGCAAAGAAAATTACTGAGCTTGCTACCCCTGCATCTCCTGAAAACAGTGAAGGTCATATATAATTCAGATCTATTCCTTTGGCTTAAATCTTTTGCTAGACACAAAAGAAGTTTATTTGCCTTGTTATTTATGTTTTTACTTTGCATGTAAAATGGTTGCTATTTGTAGGGAAGTAACTGATGATAGATGTGACAACTAGTGTGGAACTGACTGATGATTCATGCAATAACTCTGTATTATAGAGATGATGTTCTCTTTTAGGAATGGAATACTCAGGAGATGTGGTGGAGACTGGGAAAGCTGTCACCAACATCAAAGAAGTAAGAAAGATTATTTGGAGTAAGCTTTAAAAGATAATTTTGTTATGTAAATTTGGTACACTCCTGGCCTAGGAAAAAAGAATATGGAAATTCCTTCGGTAGTGCTCACTAGACTACTGCAGTTCTAATCTGTGAACTAGGACAGCAAGAGAACGAGAAGAGAATATATATAAATGCACATGTCTTAAGAAAAAAATGCACAAACTTATCCAGTATTTTCATTCTGAAAGTAATTAGGAAGAATATTGTTCATGTATCCCAAATGGATTTGAATTAACTAATTTATTCATAATAGTACAGATTTTCAGTGCTCTTTATTGTGTTAATTTTTCAGCAACAATAATTTCCTAAATGCCATTGATCCAAAGAAAGATGAAAGATAATCTTCCCGTGTTTTTTTACAGCAAACCTAGCAACGAATTTTAGAAACTGAAGTATTCTCATATTGCATCAGTGTAAATGTCTTAAGAAAAATGAACAAGAAACCAATATTATTTATTGTATTTTTGGACAACTTTTCTGACTTCCTAATAGGCTTTGAGCAAAAATAGTTCTCTGAATTTGTTGCCAATTATATAATAGTAGCAATATATACCATTTTGCTTGAACTAATTTCATGAACTAATTCGAGAAAGATAATATAATGCAATTTTAGTCAAATATAGTGTCACTTGTGGATTATCCTCATGTTCAGTTCTTTGATGATGAGCTGAAATACATTTAAAAAGGATTCTTTACCACAGAGAGTTGCAGTGAAGCTCATCAAATTCTAATCTCACACTTTCAATGTTTTGAAATATTCAAGAGACTCTGTCATTAGAGTTTTATGCAATGTTGATGAGATTCCCTTAATTTAAATTAAGTAAAATTCCTTATTCTTCATATATTTCACACTGTAGCTATAATAAAAGCTTACAAATCTTGGTTAAATTTATTCATTTGGAGCCAAGTGGGAAATTGTGACTAATCTTTCTACAAAATGTTTTCAACAATAACAAGATTTTTAACTATCAACCTAGCCCAGAGCTTTTGGAGCATAGCGGTTTTCCTCTTCTGGAAGATCCTGAGATCTGTGTCTAACAGATCTTTAAACTGATGGTGTAGCATTCAGAATTGTCTCACTATGCCAGTTATAACTTGATTCATTCTAATGTACAATTTGAAAACATTCATTCATTTGTTCAGTCTAAGATTAAATTAGTGAAACGCTGATTAAAATGTTGATGTTTTAAATATCTTCTACTTGTTTACATATGTTTTTAGTCCTTGGCAAAAGGGGGGAAATGTTGACTTTTCTTATCCTTATGGTTCTGTTATGATGCTTTTGGACAGGGGGACTGTGTCATTGGTGTGACCAATGGAAAAGCTCTGGCAGAAGAATACATCGCAGATTCAAAGGTATGAAAACAATAAATAAATGCCCCAATATTTTTTAAAATTCTTTGTAAAAGCCAAAAATATAAATATGTAAGAGGATAAAGAGGATCACATGAATATTCATCACTCATAATTTATTCAGTACATTTTGTTTATATATTCAAAAAAATTAAATTTAGCTCATTTTACCTAATTTTAAAAGAAGAAAGAACAATGGGAATAGTTAATATATGGAGTAACAAAAGAAACCAATTTCTTTTGTCTTCTTGTCAAGTGTTCAAGTGATAGGAAGCTTATCCAACAGGAAAAGAGATAGGTTTTTGCTGTTATAGAAAAATTAGAAGAAAATGAGTATTCTTCCTTCTTGTAATCAACTTATTTACAACTGTAAGATCACACAAAAGTAATTTCCTCTGTCCTGTTGGTTAAAATGGCAGCATATTTATGTCAGTTGATTGTGGATCTTTGGAAAAATTACTTCATAAACTGTGCTAGATTAATTGGGATTGTCACTGGTGTTCTGAAGTTCTTTATTGCTGAAGATAAGTTCAGAGAATAAGTTTAGAGGGCTCATAATGCCTGTGTTCAGGATTTCATTTTCTTTTCTTTTTTAAAAGTTGCTTTGGAAAATCCCCCAAGGAGTACCTTATGAACAAGCTGCAGCACTGCCTGTTTCATATGGGACAGCCATCTTGGCCTTGAAACATAGAGCACAAACACAGCCAGGGTGAGTCCTGTTTGGTCAACAAAGTTATGGGTTGTGTTGCAATTCTGTAATAATTGGTGACTATCTTAAGGCTTTCTCTGCATGAAAAATACCAAGATCTGTGTCTAACAGATCATTAGACTGATTGCATGTCATTCAGAATTGTTCCATTATTTTACTTTATAGCCTGGTTTGTTCTAATGTACAATTTTGTAAATATTGTAGATGAGTTTTTTTTATTTTTAATATGTTGATAGATTTTAAGTGCATCGGATTTGAAGTAAGGCATGTTTTTTTTAATTAAATGGATTGCTAAGAGTTAGGAATCTGAAGGAGTAGTTGTCCAAAAAGTTGGCTGCTTCCTTAGTTATATCACCTCTGTCTGTGGAAGTTAGAAGACATATGTTGTGCCCTTAGAATCCTACATTCTCTGTCTCAGCCAGTAAGATAGTCATGGACCAAGAAATACAGATTTAGGACAGGCAGTAAGTACTACTAGGTCAGTCTTGCCCAACCTTATGTCCTCAAGATAAATTAGAGATATTTCTCACTTGCTCTCAAGTTTTCACTGTTTTTTCCCCTAAAGGAGCCCAGAGAAAATTGAAACCAAATCCCCAGAGCTTCTCTGCCTCAACATGAAGGCCCACAAATGGTTTCTAGAGGATATGCCCTCATACCAATAGCTATGTTTTCTCCTAAGTCTAGACTCAAGGCAGCCCAGCTTTAGTTGCTCTGTTCTGGAAGTTTATTTCCTCTCTTATCCTGCCTCAAGATCTATTTGGATAATCCATGGTACATGGGGGTGTGGGGTCTTGGAGTTTTGTGATCTGGGATGGACATATATGTTCATCCACAACTGATCTGGCTTCTTTGCATCTGCTCCCTGGGCATTTTATGACATAATACAAAATGTCAAAACATTTCCTGTGGTCCTAACTTTTGACTGTGCTACATGGTTCATTGTGAGCTACTTTCAAGACAGATACAGATGCTTCTCTGAATATCTCCATGAATTTTGAAGAACTTTTCAAATATATTAGAAACTCTGCCATTGTTGAAGGCATTGAGGAATCTAGTAAGGAAATAGCTCTGAAACAATGATCCAAAGGGGGTCAGGGGTTGTCTACCAAAGAATGAAAATGTTACAACAGGAAAGAGAAAAACAAACAGTGCACCAAGTAACCAGGAGCAATGTGCTTGTTAGAGAAGGCATTTCACACAATGAAGGATATTGGATAGGGCTGGAATTCTAATTAAGGAAACTACCAACTATGTCCCTTAAAATGTGTGCCTGTTAAAGCTATATGAAGAACAGAACAGCGTAGATCTATTCCAGGTGTGTGCTAAGGATGTGCTATGGCAGGTCCAGATTTAGGGCAGCATGACTTCTTGTTAGCTATGGAAGGACGAGAAAGGAGCATAGCAAAGCAGTTCTGGATGTGTGATCTCAGTCTGATTTGATGGGTCTAGTTTTCTTCATAGTGAGCCTAATAATGTAGGCAGACACTGGGGTGGAGTGAAATAAGGAAGTGTGCCAGATAGACTTTTAATGTTTTAGATCAGGGGCCATGGCGGTGTCACGTGATGTATCGGGACTTTCCCCCCTTCACTAAACCAGTCGTGGGCATGGCCAGCGCGTGACGTATCCAGCCCATGGGCCGGGAGTTTGACAGCCCTGTTTTAGATCAGGGATCTCCAAACTTGGCAACTTTTAAGTCTTGTGGACTTCAACTCCCAGAGTTCCTCAGCCAGCCATACTGGCTGGGAATTATCTGGGAGTTGAAGTCAGGTCTTAAAGTTGCCAAGTTTGGAGATCTGTTTTAGATCATCCGCATGTAATACATCTCTCCAGTCTCAAACTACGCTTCTGTATTTTTTGCAGAGAAACTGTTTTGGTGACTGCAGCCGCTGGTGCTACAGGACTTGCAGTTGTAGATGTTGCAGCTAGTGTCCTTAAAGCAAAGGTATGCCTTTTTTCACCAGCATTAGTATATATCTAAGCAATCTTCCAAATCAGACAAGGATGCTAAAACATCTTGAAAACTCCTTTGCCACTTCTGGTTTCAAATAATCATTTCTTCTGTAAAATCAGGTAACAATGAGGTTGTTAACACACAAGATTCTACTCAAAAAAATACCTTTCTTTATCATACTGCAGTGTTCAGAGTTGTCATTCCTACAAGAGTTCCTTACCAGTTCACCAGCAAGAGAGAGCCCTTCACAGATGAAAAGAAAATAAGTTTTCAATTATTTCTCTCATAAGCAGCTCTGTTCTAAAGGCTGCTCTAAAACGGCAGAGTGAAAGAAGAATAATGGGCAGTTACCTCCCAATAAGCCTTCCTTGGAGAAAATAGCATTAATTTTAATTATGAAGAAAAACACGGAAGAAACCAGAAAATGCAACCAGACCCTTCATCTTAGATTCCATCCAAATTAATGTTAGAGCAGTTCCCTCTAACCTACTGCATGCTAAGTGTGTTGGGACATCAACACAGTTCTGTGACCCCTGGTGCCTAGAAATTATGGTGGATATGTTGGACGGTTCAAAGCTAGGGAAAGCTCTTTTGGCTTTAACCGCGAATGGAAAGGGCTAATCTGTTATAATAATGCAACCATGTCAGTTGGAAGAATGTACAGTTGTCTTTTGGGATTGCAGGTGATAGCAGCAGCAGGAAGTGACAGTAAATGCCACCTGGCTACCCAGAAAGGAGCTGTTGAGAGTGTGAATTACAACGAGGCTAGTCTGAAAGAAGAGGTGAAGAAGCTGACAGCAAACAGGGGAGTTAATGTGGTTATTGACCTCTTTGGTGGAGACATCTTCAAGCAGGCATTGCATAGGTGGGTTAAAGCCGTGATCTATTTCTTCTGGACAGCGAAATTGGACAACCTTTTGATTTCACAAACGAAGGCAAATATTATGGCATTGCAGGATCCAATCCTGAGGATGGGCTTCAGCATGAGATCGAAAACTTGGAAGACAAAACTTTTGGTCTTGGTGACCAACTCAGATTGGATCTTTTTTGTTTTTTAAGGCAAGGGCTACAGAGAGTAGGGTAAAGGTGTACAGGGTTTTGTGCTTTTTCCTAAATTTGGTGTGAATTTTATAGCAATTTTAGAACTGCAGGAATGGCTGTTTGATATAGATATAGGTTATTATTTGATACAAGGCTATTCTGACTTATTTGGACTAGCTGTTCACCACTTGAAAGTAGGTCAAATTAGGGCCATTTCTTGCTAGCCAGGCAAGGTGCATAATCATTACCTGCTTGGAAATAAACTTGAATTCCCAAAATCTGAACCTTTAGTGCATGGTTTGCAGTGCATCTGAGAACTGATAGAAAAATATCTCTTTAAAGTACCTCAGAATAAATTAGAGGGGAAGAATTCATTATAACTTCTCTTAACAGTAGAAAATGTTTAAATGTTTAATCACTTTTGCAAATGTTTAATCACATTTATCTTCTGTAAATGTATCTGATTTTCATGAGGTGAGAGACATTTTCTTGATAATGCAGGATATTACCTGAAAATGTTTGATAAATTTTGAATATCTCCAATATCTTGGTCACAATGTTCTATTCTTAGAAACCCTTCACTCGTTGTATCCAAAATATTAGTTACAGTGGATGGACAATCTGTGAGCTTTTGCTGAATTCCAACACCTAGCAGTCCTTGTTAGTATATAGCTGGGGATTCTGGGAGTTATAGTTTAGCAACATCTAGAAGGCTACTAGTTCTCCATTCCTGTTTTACAGTTAGTCCTCAATTTACAACCATTCATTTAACAGCACTACAAAGTTACAATGGTGCTGATATATGACCCATCTTCAAAGTTACGACCATCACACCACCCCCATGGTAATTAGATTGCAATTAAGGTACTTGGCAACCAGCTCACATTTATAACAATTGCAGTGACTTGCAATCATGTGATCATAATTTTAACCTTCCCAGCTGCCTTCTAATAAGCAAAGTTAATGGGAGAAGCATGATCCACTTAACAACCTTGTGATTCACTGAATGACCACATGATTTGCCCAGAGACCATGATAATAAAAGATCACAAAATCAAGTCCACTCGTGTGATGACTTGCTTAACAACTGCATCACTTAGCAACTGAAATTCTGATTCCCAATTATGGTCATAAGTTGAGGACTACCTGTAAACTGCTTTAAACCCTTTGTTTCTGAACCCATCTAGCAGAGCCCTTTGTATAATTGCATAGGAACTGTACATCTGCTCTTTCTCTTTAGAAACAACCCTTCTGCTTTAATTGATGACTTGATATCCATCCATTCAGGAATAAATGTCGACCCCTTTGAAGTGTTATGGAGCGGCTATATTAACTATTGATCCAAGTTCTAATCTCTGAGTCTCTTCTTTATTATTGCAGTCTGGCTTTTGAAGGCAGAATTGTGGTCGTTGGTTTTGCTGGAGGAACAATACCTCCCATTCCAGCCAACATACTGCTTCTAAAAAACATCTCTGCTCTGGGATTATTCTGGGGCCGGTACCAGGATGAAGAGTTCCCAGTCTTCTCCTCAACCATTTCTTCAGCTCTTTCATATTATCAAGAGGGTCAAATCCAGCCTCACATAGGAGGAGTGTTCAAACTAGAGGAGGTAAAGAGAAGAAGCTTGATTTTAACAGTTTTGAAGCTTTTGCAGAATTTCTTGGATTGTCCAATGGACAGTCTTTATAACAATGAAAAAAAAAGGCTCTAATGAAATTGGGTGTCCTGCTGTTATTTTCCAGGATAATATTGTCAATCCTTTATCTTTGGAAAAAAGCATAGCTCAGATTTATCACAACTGCTTTCTGTATAGGACTGGAGTATAAATTGGCTTTCTGAATAAAAAGTCATCCATAAATTTAAATGTTGCAAGTTACTGAAATCTAGTAATTTTGTCAGTATAGTGAGTGGTATAGGCAACCATTACCGCAATGTTTGTTGAAGATAAAGCTCTGTTATGGAGTAAATAAGTTTTTCCCACAGGAAATGTAGAGCAGATGGTATTAGCCACTGGCAAAGACATGAAATGCAAGTATTTCCAATCTTGCATTTCCATTTTAGATTCAGGCAGGGAAGGCATGACTACAAATCCTTGCTCATCTGTGAAATTTAGGAGGTTAGCCTCTTATCTCTCAATTCTCAACTCTTCTTCATATGAATATTAAGATGACGTTGGTGTCTAGGATGTATGTTATGCCAAATTCTTGGGAAAGAACAGGTAAAACGTGAAATAATAATGAAATGAGGTTTCTCTTTAAGAGGAATGGTTCCACAGCTTTGCCATGCTAGTATGTAGTTGAAAATAATGATGGAATCTTTCAGTTCATCCAATCTATTTATCACTAATTGTTTCTAATTAAGAGTCCAATTGCTTTTCATATCTCATTTAATACATGCAAATTTAACTCCCACAATTAACTTGGGAAAAGCTTTAATGTTGGTCATTGTCTTTAATTATGGAAACCATTTTCTTTAAATAGTATCTTTAATTGGATTTTATCTAGATTCTTACATTCAGTTTCAGGAGGAACCGGGGAATTCTTTCTGACCTTGCATAATTGTGGCTTTCTGTAAAATTTTCCAATCCACCAAACCAAGTTTCTGCTTTTATCTAGTTTTATGCCACTGGGGATAAAAGCAAAACAATCTATGCTTGCAACTTTCAAGGAATATACTTGGTGCCATAAAATGTACTTATAGGATGTATGTTTGGTGCCATAAAATGTACTTATATGTATGTTTATTGCATAGTGAATATATGAGATTTATACCTCCAACTTTGTAATACATTCAGTGTTCAGATCCTTTCTTTGAATTGCTCTTCAGGTAAATGAAGCATTTGCACATATAATTCAACGTAAATCTACAGGAAAAATTGTCATCTCAATGAATTAAACCTCTTCGGAAAATGTATCTTCAGTGCTACTTCCTGCTGAAGTGAGAAGATGTCACTGAGTTCAAACCAATCAGCCTGCAACAGGCCTTTTTGGATTACAAGAGGAACTTTCTAGCCAAACACATTGATTTTTTTTAACATTTCTGTAATGGATCTAGGATGTTTAGGCACCAGCTACTGGCTGGCAGCTATTTGTCCTGTGCAGCAAAAAGCCCATGTTTAACCCTGCCTCGGGGAATGGGCAGGGATAAAAGGCTTGGGGTGGAGGGCCAGAGACCATTGGTGGTGGACAGTTGCTGGAAGTGGATCAGTGGAGGAGGAAAACTATAGTTTGGTGGCAATGGTTGGCTGGTGTTCTGACCCAAGCCTTGTTCAAATTAAACACAAACTGTAAAAAAGTAAACCTTTTTTAATGTAGTGCTGGGAATTCTGCACATTCCCAGCCAAGAGTCAGTTAAAGCTAACTGTCCGATATCAAAAGCAAGCCCTTTCAAGGTTGCGAACGGCTGCCAAGAACAGAAGACTAATTACTGATGAAATATCCACTGACAGAAGTTTCAAAAACAAACCGGAGTAAGCAGGGCTTTGACGAGAATTCAGAGTCTAAAGAACTTCTTTGCTTCCTGCAAAGAACACATCCCTGAGGGCTGGCTTTTATCCCCTATGGGAGAGGCCATCACATTCCAGCCTTACTCCCGAGTCTCCCTTGCTGCTTCAGCTGCTCTTTCCTTTAAGTGCATTGGGCACAGGCTCCCCGGGGTCCTCAGCATCACTGCTGCCAGACTCCACAAGCTCCCACTCTCCGATATTCCTGGCCCCATCCCTGCATCACCACCTCGTCCGAGTCCTCGCTATCAGGGAGTTCTGCCATCCGCACCTGCTGCTGGTAAACCACAACAGCTGGGAGTGAAGAGGGTGTGGCCAAGGGTCAGCATCTAAACACCCCATTCCGTCTGTAGCTTCCATCAGAATCCAAGGTTGGTGATTGGTCTTATTCCACCTTTTCTGCTATTGAAGATTCTAGATATTGTACAGACACCTCAGTATACTTTGGCTTGGGGCGATGTTCTCTCCTGAAGCTTCCAAGCCAAGACACAGGAGCTAACTCTACTCTTTGGGCTTTGAAGATTAGGCTGTAAGGAACTCTGCCTAGCAACAATTGTGCGCATGATACTAAAATAAAATGTAGGAATAATAGAGTGATACTGGTTTATTGTTCTGCACAGTATCGGGGGGGTTTCTTTTGAACTTGAAGAGAGATAGCAGACTGGAGGGGAATAGGAATATTGAGAAAACTATTGTATCTTGAGGAAAGTAAAAATGATGATAACCTGTATGTATTTTGGATTACTTTCTTTTTTTTATGAATAAAAATATATACTTTTCCCTGAAGAGTTGTTTCTGTTCATCATTGCATCTGGTGTAAGCACATTCCTAAAGATTTAATGTATGATGAAACTCCTACAGATATGGGTGATGTGTGGCAATCTTGTGAGTTGTCTAAGTCAGGGATCCCCAACCTTTTCGACGCCGCGGCCCGGTTCCGGCGTCAGCTGGGCGCCGCGGCCCGGTTCCGGCGTCAGCTGGGCGCCGCCATCTTTTTTGATGAAAAATTGCTTTTTTTACCAAAAAAAGATGGCGGCGCCCAGCAACCAGCGGCCCGGTAAGGCTTGTTCCGCGGCCCGGTACCGGTCCGCGGCCCGGCGGTTGGGGACCCCTGGTCTAAGTGAACTTAAGGGTGAGGTGGGGTGATAACTTTGCCATCAAGTCGTGTACATGAACAGGAAGAAGGGATGTTGATTTATACATTTTTTTCTTTCATTCTTCCCCCATGTCTAATATATTTTATAATACTTTGGTTTTGTATGATTAATGTTGTTAACAATAAATTACATCATTTGTGCTTGCTTTTCACTATATCTAATTCTAGAATCTGTCTCATTTATGCTAGCAGCACAGTCCAAGACCCAACCTACTAGCATCTCTTCAGATGTTATTTCCATACATCTCTTCCATTTCTTTTAGTTGGTAACTAAGGAGTACAGGTCACTAATTGTTGACTCCTCCTGACTGTGAGGAGGCTGTAGACAAGGACTATTTTAAGTTCTCAACATTGCTCTTCACTTCTATTCAGCAATTTAATCCTGAACTATGAATGGGTTAGACAAGAACAGAAACCAGAAACCCCATAACTGAGATCTGAGTAAGACACAACCCCCCAATTTTCTGTGTTATTTTCTTCAATTTTTTAAAATCTAAAGAGTCTCAGTCAGTTGCATATCTCATTTAAAAAATTGCATTGGGTTAACAGCCTGGCTAAATAGTTTATTGCCCCATGGCAGGAATAGTGCTAATTTTAAGAAATAGGATGGCTTGGTTATGCATTTTGTTAAATGGGCCTGCATCATCTTTCTTTCAAATGTGGTATTTAGAAATTGGCTGCCTGTCTTCGATTCTTTCCATTGTCTGAATAGCAGACTGGGTTCATGCAATGTGGTAAATTGCAATGTACTTGGAAATAGAGGTTGATATAATTTCCTGCTGACCCAAAGATTGGCAAATACAGTTCAGATCAACCACAGGGAAAGGCCCATAGGATTGAAACAAATTACATTGTTTCAGAATGCCTTCTCAGAGTTTGAACAGAGATTACTTCTTTATTTTAAATTATATCTGAATTACACTTTTTCATTCATTTTAGAGGGTGAAAAAACTATATGATCTGAAGATAGATCAGATCATTCATTTCTCTGATTTGTTGGCTTTTTATTGTTGGATGTGTGTGTTCTCCCTAAATCTTTGATACAACAAGTCCTAAAAAGATCATATCCATTTAACAGGAAATAATAAGGTATCTTTAAATGTTCAAATAGAACAGCTAAGAGAAAAGAGGAACCCAACTATGCTTCTTCAGGATCTGGTGTGCACATTAGTCATCTTTCACATAATAACACCTCTTTTTATTTCCTGAATTACACAATGTTTAATTAGAAGGTCATAGGAACCCATAAGGCTCAGTAAATGGAACAAAATTCCTTCGCTTATTTTATTTGCTAAGTCCTGATGAACAATCTTATCATGTATGTAAAAGCTTTCCAATTGTGGCTCATGCAACACAATAGCTTGATATTATTGTAAAACACTGAAACAGAAACCATCCAATCCCACTTTAGCCTAGTCTAGCATGTTGTTTGAACACAGTTTATGTCTGGGTGCGCTCTTGCAACAGCCATGGATAAAACTCTTTGAAAGTCATGCATTCTAAATACTCCTGTCCCCCATCCAATTACATGAATTCTGATGGATTGGATAACCATTTGTCTGAAATGATAGTTTTCTACCTGAGATGGGAGTTGGACTAGGATCTCCAAGATTCCTTCCAATGCTATGAATTTGTTATTTATTTATAACCACTAGAACTAGATTATTATTTATTTATAAATATTTAAATCAACCCACACTCTTCTTCCCAACATCTAAAAATTGTTTTCAATGTATTAACTCTGTATCAAACTTCCTTAAATTGAACACTTGATAATATACTCCAGCCTTGATCTTTCCGTTCCGAGGAAAATGCAAGCATTTTGACATAGTCTATAAGGAAGATGCCAGGTGGACAAACAAGACATGAAAGGGGCTTTTTTCCCTTCAAGCGGGACCATCTACAGATTCTGATTGTTGGTTTTATAGCTGTATAATGTAGCTGGTTAATTAAAAATGGAATTTGTGAATCTTGTTTTGAAAATGTGTGTTTTCATTACCTGATCCTGAAACAAATTAAGTCAAACAAATATCATCATTAATACTTGGATAACTCTAGGCAGGCCTTTCTCTTGTCTCTTGTTTGCACTTGTAAGGAGATTAGAAACAATTGAAAAATGAGACCAAGCAAACTTGAGGCTCATTTCAGCTTCTCTACAAGGTCTATTGCACAAGGAGATGTTATTCTTCATTTTTATTTTATTTTCACATGCTCTTATTATGCAATAAAAATATAAATAAATCAATCTAAGTGGCCTGTAGAAGCAGTACACATGCAAAGAAATATATTAATAAATCAACCAAATCAATAGTACTCAGATATATCATAGATACATCTCCCCAAATACCTGCTCATATATTTGCAAGTATTTACAGTGCATCTAAAAATGAACCAGGATGCTAATTCATCAGGAGCTCCAGTAGAGAATGGTTTGTTTCTTGTTTCTGAGATTCCTGTTGCTGAGCCTCACACAGGAGGAGGAGGCTCAGCATGATTTCTGATTGCTGGCATGTCTTATGAGGCAGACTGTACTTGGAGCAAGCAGTTCCACAGATAACCATATCTCAAACCAAGTCTTCAGATGTTATTCCCTGAATTTTGAATTGCACCTGGAAAGATACTGGTGCCCAGTGCAGCTCCTGTAGCAATGGAGATAATACAAGCACCTCCAGTTGTTCCTATTAACAGACTGATGGCGCATTCTGTAGCAACTGAAGTTTCTAGCATTCCATTGGGAAGTGATAAAAATGTGAGTGATTTTTGCCAGTTTCTCCCATCCCAGAAACTGCCTCAGTTGGTGCAACAGCTCAAGCTGGATGAAGACTATCCTGGTCATAGCTTCCATTTGCTCTTCCAGGAGCTCAGAACAACTTTGAGTATTAATCGGCTCCTCTTGGGGATAAATAAACTCATCACAGCAAAGAACTAATGTTGGAACTATCTTAGAATTGATTGATTTCTGGAATTAACAACTGGTTAATCTTGTTTGTATTGTGTGAGCATGTCACTGTTTGATTTGGGGGTGGGAGACAAGGCCACAATAGAAAAGTATCAAAATGCTAGGTCTGCTTTATTTTAGGCAGAATTAGATGCAAATCACACAGATATAGATCCTTCAGAGAACTCCAACCCTCTCAAGTGTCAGTTTCACCCACAATAAACCTTTGAAACACGCTCCCTGCGACTCTTTTAAGGAGTAAGGAATGACAATATAGCAGCCTTCAGATTGTCAGATAAAAGCTCAGCAAGAGCTGTAACGGCCCGAGAATAGAAGAATCCTTATTTAAACTTCAACTCTTTTAAGCTAAGCTATTAATTTTCCCTGTGTGCTGAAGCTGCCAGGCTCGACATGATATGGGAGCATGATCATTGACTTACCCTTGTGGGATGGGATGCTTTGCTAGCTCTGACTGTTCAGCCTTGCAACACTATTCAGAAAAGTGTACTTAGATTCCACTTCTGTTGACATAACCAGTGCAGAATTTATCCCAGGAGAGAATAACATTAAATGCAGTGGTGGGATTCAATTTTTTTTACTACCGGTTCTGTGGGCATGGCTTGGTGGGCGTGGCAGGAAAAGGAGACT